ATATATATATATATATATATATATTTGAATTCATCATATGTTTTAATATAATTGTTATAAATTTGAATTGTTAAATAGGTGATAAATCTAGTGATAAAGTTGTAATGATAATGATGCAACAGTGAAAATGATAATAATGTGGTAATGGTTATAATAAAAGTGATGATATGATAATGGTAGCAAAATTATAATATAATAATTTTGTTTGTAATATTCTTATTTTAATATAAGAGTTCTTATAAAGGATTTTTATTTAATTAAGTCACCATCTATATACTTATTGTAACGACCCGGCTGATCACTACACACTGCACAACACATTAGAAACACCACACAAAAAGGAACAAGTGTATACATATAGGGTATAGAATATATACATATACATGATCCAAATTTGGATAGAGTTAAAGTGTACAGAATATATCAAAAGTTACTACACTAAGTAGCTAAACATCAAAAGATCCTAGAAGATCCACTCCATCTGCCAGCTGTAGATTCACCATCAGCCACCTACCTATCCCTGCTCTACTCTCATACGTAGTATGATCATCACAGTCTAAACATCATGGAGACAACAAAGGGTAAGATAGTGTAAAGAAACAACATACATATATAGCAATATGACAGTAAACAGCTACAACTATCAGCACACCAACACAGCTTATACCACACCACAACATTCAACAATATCAGCACCGCAAAGCGACAATATCAGCACTGCATAGCAGCAATTTCAGCACCACTCTAGTGGCTATAACAGCCCCGCCTTAGCGGCTATAACAGCACCACAATAGTGGCTAATAAAAACACCGACATAGCGGTTAGAACAACACCACAATAGTGGCTAATAACAGCCCCGACATAGCGGCTAGAACAGCACCACAATAGTGGTCATACACAGCATACAACTCAGCTAACACAACACAACCAAACAGCTCACAGCACAGCACAACAAATCAGCATACAGCACGGCTAAGTAGTATTCAACACAGCTTACCACTCACAACTCAACTCATCATTCTAGAGCACAACAATAATATAATTTTAGCATTTAAAAATCATCAATAACAGCCTAGCTCAACACAACAATATCAGCATCCAGCACAGCTAAACAACTTACAGCACAGCAATATCAGCATACAGCAATTAGCAACTTACGGCTCGGCTAAACTACTTACAGCACAGCCTAAACATCCTTAATCAGCAATAACATCTAACAGCACGACATATTCGTCAGTTTCAGCATAACAGCATAATTCAGCGTTATCAACTAGTTAGCACAGCAATATTTAACAACTACACAATTTGTCCGTCGCAATTTATCATTTTCCTTGTAGTGATTGATCATATCAAAATTTTAGTTAAATAAAAACACAAATTAATGGATCTGTCTCATGAACACCTCTATAAATTACAAAAGAATATCAAGTATGTATACACATGTTTACATGGTAAAATTGAAATATTAGGTTTCAAAATTATAAATTGGGTCATGTAGCTTGTCAAGTGTTGTTGAAACACCTACCTCACACATTCTATATACCTTGCATGCTAATCACATTCATGTTACTAGTTCAATGAAGCGATTGCATGTTTTCAACTTCTCTCTCTCTTTAATAGAGTTATCTTTACATTTTCAAAAAAAAATCTTTTAGATTACCTTCTATTTATGTTTCTAATGAGCACTCTATCCTCCTTCTAATACTTACATATTTTTTTATATCGTAAGTCTATTGATATTATTATAATTATTATATCTAAAATATTATTTTTTTAAAAAAACTCTTTGAATGGTTACAATTTTATCTTTAAAATGACACTTTGATAAATTAAGAAAAAAATGTTTATATCTTATTATTGATCTTAAATTTTAAGTGATACACTACAAGAATGTTTCAATTTAGAGTCGGTCAAAAGCCGACTCTAAATCATAAAAGCCGACGCAATATTGTCGGTTATTCGTCGGTTTTTGGCCGACGCTAAATAAGTCGACACAATTTTTTTTGTGTCGGCTAAGCCGTCACTAACAAATTTATTTATTTTAATTTTTTATTGTCGGTTAAGCCGACACTATATTGACACAAATTTTATTTTATTTTTTTCTTTATCTTCTTTTTCTCGCTCATCATTTATTCATTCGTATTTTTAACATTCCTGAGACTCGATCCGTGAACCTTGAGGTCTTAAGTGAACTTGATAACCAAGTGTACTAGAACACATTATGCGTATATAACATTGGAAAAATTATTTTTATCTCTCTGAAAGCACGTCTATTATTTAAAGAATAGCATCGGCTTTTCCGACGCTAAACTTAAAATAAATTTAAATTAAATTTATTTTAAGTTTAGCGTCGGGAAAGCCGACGCTAAATCTTAAAATAGCGTCGGCTTTTCCGATACTATTTACGTCAGCTATTAGCCAATGCTTCTTTTTCGCCGCTTATTCAGCGTTTTCTTGTAGTGATATAAGACTTTTAAAATAAGTTATTTGATTTTTTATTACTTCATTTAACTTTATTTAAGTGATTCTTTCAAATCCCAATTATTTCAAGTGAAATAAATGTTTTGCTTACAAGTATTTATATGTGTTTAAAGTAGCAAACTTATGTTTTATCATATTTTTGTTAGAGAGTATTACACTTGAAAGTATTTTACACAATAGATAATAAATAAACTACACAAGTAAGTTTGACATCATAATATAATTTAAAATCTAGGTAAGTGAATCTTTCTCATTTATATATATACTACTTATATTATCTAATTCTAACTAGTACAAGAATTCATTTTACATTTGAGTTCCAATAATTTTAACTCAATCAATAAAACTAAACATTAATTTAATTTTAATCATAACCTATATATAAAGGATTAGATTTTACGTTCCCAAATTTCCATTTAGGATCAAACAGTAAAAACATCTCATTATATAAGAACTTAATTAGAGATACAAAATTAAATTAACACAGATTCTCATAATGAAATTTACTGTCAGCACATACATAATCCCATTTTTATTTGATATCAATCTCAAACACTTCAATATGCTGTTAAATGTTAAACAAAATTAATTGAGTTAAATAAAAAACAATTTATTTAGAAGAAATGTAATTTGCTAACCAACCTCATTTTTTTCTATTTCAATTTTTATATTGACCTTACTTTTTTTATTTTTTTATTATTATGGTATTACTAATCACATTTATAATCTTTACTTCCTCCCTTGTTTTCAATCCTGTTTTCAAGGTGTGTACACTGAAAGAGCG